CATGATCAGGATCATCATGATCATCAGCACCATCATCGTCATCAGCATCGTCATTATCATCATCGCCATCACCATCATCGTCATCAGCGTCATCACCAGTAGTATTAGCAGCATCTACATCAGCATCGTCATCATCATGGGCATCAGCATCAGCAGCAGCATCGTCATCACCATCTCGGTCGTCATCCTCAAAATCATCGTCATCCTCATCATCATCATAACCACCATCATGAGCAGCATCGGCCTCATTCTCATCATCACCATCATCATCGCCACCATCGTCACCATCGTCATCATCATCACCGCCTGCATCATCATCATCATCAGCACATCAGAGTCATCATCATCATCATCATCATCATCATCATTATCATCATCATCATCATCATCCTCATCATCATCAGCATCCGTATCAACATCATCGTCATTATCACCATGGTCAGCTGCATCAGACTCAGCGCCTGCATCAGCAGTACAGTACGGGCGCGGCCGCAAGAAACCCGCGCAAGAAACCCAACCCTGAGAACCCGCGCTCGAGGTGCACCTGAGGTGACACTCGGAGCACTCTGATCGCAGCAGTTTCTCCAACGGCCGCGGGATGTCACTGCGCAGCGCGCGGAACGAAGAAACCCAGGGTAACCTGACGAAAAGTAAATGGTTTCTTGGTGCGCGCCCCCACTTTATAGTCACCATCATCGACCTCATCAGCACCGTCATGTCTGTCGTCACCATCCTTTTCATCATCCGAAATACCATCCACAGAATCATCATCATCATGATCAGCATGACCAGCATGATCATCATCGTTAGTCCGATCAGCATATCCACCACCATCATCGACATCGGAACCAGAGCCTGCATCATCGATGCGGTCATCGTCACCATAAGCATCAGAATCAGCAGTATCAGCATCATCATCATCATCATCATCATCATCATCATCATCATCATCATCACCATCGTCACCATCATGATAGAAATCGCCATCAGCGTTGTTTCTCCTTCCATTACCACCATCACCATCCCCGACATCGCCATGAGCGATCCTACTTCCGACATCGCAACACTCATCAACGACGCAACCATCGTCTTCACGACCACCACCATCATCACCATGCTCAGAGTCGTCATCAGCATCAGCATCAGCATCAGAATCATCAGCAGCATCACCATCGTCCGCATCACCATCACCATCAGCACCATCAGCATCATCCGCATCAACAACATCACAAAATCGTAATCGCCATCGTCATCGGCATCGTCATCATCAACATCATCATCATCATCATCATCATCATCATCATCATCATGACCGACACCGCCATCACCACCACCACAACCACCGTCATAGACGTCGTCGACATCATCGTCATCCTCGTAATCATCGTCGTCATCATCATCCTTATGATCAGCATCATCAGCAACAGACATATCAGCATCATCATCACCACCATCACCATCGTCATCGTAATCGTCAGCGGCATCATCGTCATCAGCATCACCAGTACCATCAGCAGCATCATCAGCAGCACATTCAACATCGTCATCGCCATCGCCATCATCATCATAACCATAATCATAATCATCATCATAATCATCATCATCATCATCATCATCATCATCGTCATCATCATAATCATCATCATCACGAAGATCCGCTGCAGCACCACCAACATCTAGATCATCATCGGCTCATCATCGGCAGCATCCGCGCTGAACCGCTGGCAGCGCAGCGGCGATGTCCCGAGCCCTGGCTCGCCATCAGGCCATCGACCTCGTGTGTGTTACCCGTACCCGAGCCCTGAAGCTCTCGACCCCGTGCCCTCAGGGGCTTCTTTCCATCCAGAGTCGCTCTGCTGGAGGTCTCGGGGACTGGCACTCGCGCGGCCCCCGGAGGCAGAAACTTGAACAAACGTCTGTGTACTTTTTATTGGACCGGTGCACGTCCTTCTTGATGAACGCACCTGTTGAGCAAATCACGAACATGATGCCCTGAAATGCCGAAGATTATGCCAGTACAAGAGTAGCGTTGAAAAGATGCCAATGCATAAAAGCAACAAATCCTGGCGAAAGACCCAGCCATGTGCAAGTGTGAGTGCAGCGAGGCAGGTGGCTTCCTGTGGGGCCACGAAACGTGTGAGGGGTGCGTCGACATGTGCAGGGGGGGCGCGTGCGAACCCTGACGGGAGCCCTCGGTGGAGCTCCCCATAGGGCCACAAGAAGTGCGAGACGGGTGCCGACATGTGCGGCGGGAACGCACGCGAACGTCGCCACTGGGGCCTTCGATTGAGCTCCATGTGGGGCCACGAAGCGTGTGAGAGGAGTGCCAACATGTGAGGCGGGGGTGCATGCGAACGTCGCCACTGGAGCCTTCGATGGAGCTCCCGATGGGGCCAAGGAGCGCGTGAGGAGTGTGCCGACATGCGCGGCGGGAACGCATGCGAGCGTGGCCAGTGTAGCCTCCAGTGGAGCTCCCTGTGGGGCCACGAATCATGTCAAGGTGTGCCGAAATGTGCGGCGGGGGCGCATGCGAACTCCGCCACGGGGGCCTTCAGTGGAGCTCCCTATGAGGCCACGACGCGTGAGGGGGTGCCGAAATGGGCAGCGGGAACGCATGCGAACGCGGCCACTGGGGTCGCTGGTGGAAATTCCTGTGGGGCCACGAAGCATGTGAGGAGTGTGCCGAAATTTTGCGGCGGAAGCGTATACGAACGTGGCCACTGGGGACTTCTGTGGAGCTCCCTATGAATCCACGGAACGTGTGAGAGATGTGCCGAAAAGTGCGGCGACGGGGACGCATGCGAACATCGCCACTGAAGCCTTCGGCGGAGCTTCCTGTGGGGCAGCGGAGCATCTGAGAGGTGCGCCGAGAAGTGCGGCGGGGACGCACTCGAACGCCGCCACTGGGGCCTCCAGTGCGGCTCCCTATGAGGCCACGAAGCATGCGAGGGGTGTGTCGGAATATGCGGCGGGGACGCATGCGAACACAGCCGATGGGGCCTTCTGTGGAGCTCCCTATGGGGCCATGAAACGTGTGATAGGTGTGCCGAACCGGCCGCGGGGACGCATGTGAACGCGGCCTCTGGGGCCGCCAGTGAAGCTCCCCATGGGGCCACGAAACGTGTGAGGGGTGTTCCGAAGTGTGCGGCCACTGGGGCCTTCGGTGGAGCTCCCCATGGGGCCACGGCGTGTGAGGGGTGTGCCGAAATTTGCGGAGGGGGCGCCGCTGGGGCCATCGGTGGAGCGCTCCATGGGGCCACGAAACGCGTGAGGGGCGTTCCGAACTGGGAGCTCGGAGGGCAGAGGCAAGCATGGAAGGAGGGAGGGGGGAATGAGGAGGAGGAGGAGGAGGAGGAGGAGGACGACGAGGAGAGGGGAGGAGAGGAGAGGAGAGTAGAGAGAAGGAGAGGAGAGGAGAGAAGGGAGGAGAGGAAAGGAGAGGAGAGGAGAGGAGAGGAGAGAGGAGAGAGGAGGAGAGGGGAGGAGAGGAGAGGAGAGCAGTACGTGGGGCGCTGTCGCTTCAAAACGAGGACCCAACACCACAGGATGGTTTAGAACAAATCGCATGGCGAAGAACCCAAACCCTTTCCTAAAACGGGGCGACTGTGAGCAGGACCGCTCAACACATGATAACATTGTGAGGGGCCTGTGCTACCCATGAACGCTGCGTCAAAAGCATTAAACATAGTAACCGTATGAGGGGTGTGCCCAAGTTGGGCGGTCACCATGCGGACGCAGCCACTCGGGCCGTCGGTGGAGCTCCCTGTGAGACCAAGGAACGCGTGAGGGGCGTGCCGGAATGGAGCGGGGCACCACGCTGGCCCCGCCACGAAGGCCTTCGGCGGAGCTTCCCACGGGGCCACGAGCCGTGTTAGGGGTGTGCCGAAAGGGGGGCGGGTCGGCATGCGGATGCAGCCACCGGGGGCCGTCGATAAAGCTCCTTCTGGAGCCACGAAGCGTGCAAGAGGTGAGCCGGCACGGGGCGGGTCGCCATGCGGACGCAACCAATGCAGCAATCGGCGGAGCAATCTCAAGGGCAGCGAAACGTGTGAGGGGTGTAGCGAAAGGATGGCGAGAACGGTGATGGTGGTAACGAGTATGACGATGACGATGCTGAAGACGACGACGACGATGACGACGACGACAACGAAGACGACGACGCCGACGACGACGACGATGCTTGCGACAAGGATGCTGAGGAAGAGGAGATGAGGGGGAGGAGGTGAGGTGGAGCGTGGCGCTGCGGATTCGACCCAAAAACGATGACCGAACACGAATGGGCATTGGGAGTGAACGGAGGCCCAGGAAGAGGAACAGAGGGAGGTGAGAAGGATGAGGTTTGGCGCAACGTTGCGAACTCAAAACAAGGATCCAACACGCAGGAGGATTGGGAACCCCTGATTTGACATCCTGCAATGGTTTCCTCTCCAGGGAGCAGTTCACGGCACTCTATCTGGTTCTCTCGTCTTGGTTGGCACTCCCAGTCATAGCTTTCCAAGAGCGTTCGCACAGCAGCATCATCAGCATGGGCAGCAGCTGCAGCTTGTTCAGCAGCACCGTCATCATCGTCATCATCATCATCAGCAGCAGCATCATCATCGACATCATCATCACCACCATCGTCTTAATCCTCATCGTCATCGTCATCATTATGATGACTATCATCATCACCACCACCATCATCATCATCATCATCGTCATCATCACAAGCAGCACCATCATCGACAGTAGCTGCATACTTCTCATAAACGTAAGCAGCATCACCCTCGATCGGAATGGCCCTCATCATCAGCAGCAGCGTCATCATCATCATCATGATTCTCAGCAGCATCACCATCTTCGTCGGCAACATTATCAGCGTCAGCTGAAGGGCAAATCATCATCGTCACGATCGCCAGCATCAGCATCACCATCGCCAACACAGCCTCATCATCACCAGCATCATCATCATCCACACCACATCATAATCCGCATCAGCATCATCTGCAGCATCATTATCAGCAGCATCATCATGATCATCATCATCACCATCATCCTCAACATCAGCAGCAGCAGAAGCATCATCGTCATCATCATCAGCATCATCATCACATCCACCAGGCGGCGATGCCTGCACTGTCCCGAGGAATGCGAACTACCACCCAATCCGAGGAGCGCCTGACCAGCGATGGATACCTCACAACGAGGAACAGAGTATGGGTGGAAGTGAACAAGAAAGGGGAGCAGGTTGGGGAGGGGGACGGACGGAGGATGAAGGAGGGAGGAGGAAGGGGGGAAAGATGGAGGCGGAGAGGGAAGAGGCAAGAAGCAAGAGGGAGCGAGGAGGAGAGGAGGGCGTGGAGGGGGGATGAGGGGGAGGTAGGAGGACAAAGGCGAGAGGGAGCAGGACAAGGAAGGGGAATAGGAGAAGGGAGAAAAGGAGGAGGAGGGACGGAAGAAACGAGAAAAAGAGAGAGGGAGAAGGCGGAGTGATGGAGAGACAAAGGGCCGACGAGGGAGGACAACAGGGGGAGAAGGGAAAGGGAGGAGGGAGGAGGGGGAAGGGTGGCGACGAAGCGATGGGTGAGGAGGAAGGAGGGGATGGCGAATAGAGGACCAAGAGGACGAGACGAGGTGGGGAGGGGAGGGAGACCGGGCGGGGAAGGAGCGGAGCGGAGGAGAAGGAAGGGGAAGGGGCCCGTGCGAGGCGCCTCGTGCTGCAGCTTCTGCCGCTCCTTCTGCTTCTCGTCCAGCTTGCTCCTCATCTCGTCCATCCTCGGCGGCGGCAGCCCAGGGAGGGAGGAGGAGGAGGAGGAGGAGGAGGAGGAGGAGGAGGAGGATCTCGAGGAGGAGGAGGATCTCGAGGAGGAGGAGGAGGAGGAGGAGGAGAGGAGGAGGAGGAGGATCTCGAGGAGGAGGGGAGAGGAGGAGAGGGAGAAGGAGAAGGAGAGGAGGAGGAGAGGAGGAGGAGGAGGAGGAGGAGGAGGAGGAGGAGGGAGGAGAGGGAGGAGGAGAGAAGGAGTAGGAGGAGGAGGAGGAGATGAGGAGGAGGAGGAAGGATCTCGAGAGGAGGGGAGGAGGATAGGATGAAGGAGGAGGATGGAGGAGAGGAGGAGGAGAGGGAGGAGGAGGGAGGAGGAGGAGGAGGAGGAGACATCGAGGAGGAGGAGGATCTCGAGGAGGAGGAGGAGGAGGGCGGGTCCAGGGCACGACCCCGGGCGGGGCCAGGCCGGGGCAGGCATGGAGGCAGGCGGGCAGAGGCGGAGGCAGACGGCCAGGGGGCGCGGAGAGAGAGCTGGCGAGCGGCGAGGCGGGAGGCCGGCCCACAGAGCGACGAGCGGGCGGAGAGCGGCGAGCGGCGAGGCGGCGAGGCGGCGGGGGTGGAGAGGGGGGGCGAGGGCAGGGGCCTCGCGGGCTCCGCGGGCCGGTCCGCGCATGGGCGAGGTATCGCGAGCGACGGCCGCGCGTGGGGTATTCGCACACAGGGGAGGGGGGGGAGGAGGAGGAGGAGGGGGATCTCGAGGAGGAGGAGGAGGAGGAGGAGGAGGAGGAGGAGGATCTCGAGGAGGAGGAGGAGGAGGAGGAGGAGGAGGAGGAGGAGGAGGGAGAGGAGGATAAGGAGGAGGCGCAGGAAGAAGGAGGAGAGGAGGAAGAGGAGTGGCAGGGGCAGGTGGAGCGAGGAGGGCGAGGAAGCGCACGTGGCCCAAGGACAGAATGAAGATCGGTGCGAGCTCGAGCGATGAGTTTTGTTGCTGGTCCTCCACTGTAGTCACTGCGCATTTGGCAGGACGAGGGAAAGGTTGTCCAGAGCATGAAGAGCTTAACTCAACCTCACGTCTCCCGCACTTGTCACAGGAGAACCGCCGCCTGGGGCCGCCTGCAGACGGCAAGGCCCGTCTGGCCTTCCCACACCACCCTGGCCTTCCCAGCTGTACTAACTGTTCGCCCGAAAAGCTCGTGACACGGCTGGGGCGCGATCGATGAGCGTCCTCCCTCCTCCTCCTCCTCCTCCTCCTCCTCCTCCTCCTCCTCTTCCTCCTCCTCAACCTCTTCCTCCGCCTCCTCCTCCTCTTCAAACAACTCATCCTCCTCCTCCTCCTCCCCGTCCTCCTCCTCCACCGACTCCTCCTTCTCGTCCTCCTCCTCCTCCTCCTCCTCCTCCTCCTCCTCCTCCTCCTCCTCCTCCTCCTCCTCCGCCTCATCAGTCCATTCATCATCACTCATCATCATCATCTATCATCATCATCATCATCATCATCATCATCATCATCATCATCATCATCATCATCGTCATCAGCATCATCATCATCATCAGCATCAGCATCATCATCATCATCATCATCATCATCATCATCATCATCATCATCATCATCAGCATCATCATCATCATCATCATCCTCATCATCATCATCATCATCATCACCATCACCATCATCATCATCACCATCCTCAGCATCGTCATCACCACCATCGTCATCATCATCATCAGCATCAGCATCAGCATCATCAGCATCAGCGCCAGCATCATCATCATGATCATCATCACCATCAACAACATTATCATCAACACCATCAACAAAGACATCATCATCATCAACATCACCATCATCAGCATCATCAGCACCAGCATCAGCATCAGCATCCGTACCATCATTAACATCATCAACATCATCATGATCATCATCGTAGTCAGCATCGTCGTCGTCATCATCGTCGTGTTCCTATTCAGCCTCATCATCCTCAGCATCATCATCGTCATCACCATCACCATCAGCAATAGCATCCCCATCACCATCAACAACAACATGATCACCATCAATATAATTATCAGCATCACCATCGTCGTCGTCTTCATCATCGTCGTCATCATCGTCGTCGTCATCAGCATCATCACCAGCACCATCATCACACCATCGTCAGCATCGGCACCATCATCATAATCAGCATTATCATCATCACCGCAATCATAATATTATAACTCACATTGGGATTCAGCATCATCATTAGCATCAGCAGAATCAGTATCATTCTGATCACTGTCATCATCGACAAGAGCATCAACAACATCAGCAGCATCGGCATCATCATCGACGCCATCAGCATCGTCGTCATCAGCACTATCATCAACATCACCATCATCACCGTCATCATCAGCATGATCAGCATCGGCATAATCAGTTTCATCCGCATCAGCAGCAGCAGCACTATCGCGATCATCATCATCATCATCATCCGCAGCAGCAGCATCATCAGCATCATCGTCGTCCTTACCACCATCATCAAAATCATCATCAGCATCAGCGTCATCTGTATCGCCATCATCACCATCATCAGCATCATCAGCGTCTTCAGCATCATCATCATCATCGGCCTGCCCATGACTCCCGATCATCGCCACCACCATCACCACTACCCGTATCACTAGCAGCGTTGTCGTCTCCAACGTCAAGACCATGATCACCGTCTTCTCATCAGCATCGTCATCGTTGCCATCATCAGCAGCAGAAGCAGCATCATCAGCATCATCAGTAGCATCGTTCCCGACATCAGCATCAGCATCAACATGACCAGCATACTCGTAATCATGGTCATCATGATCAACATGACCATCGTCATCCTCATCGTCGGCCACAGTATCCTCATACTTCCATCCGTCTCAGGAAGCACCTGCGGCCGCGCTCGTGCAAATCCTCATCCACCCCGTGGGACGTTAACAACTCTCGTCGCTCTACTCTACGAGCCATCCGCGTCATCCCCATACTAATCGTCATCATCACCTGCACCATCATGACCACCAGTACCATTATAATCCTCAACGCCACTCTCCGATTCCCTGTTCTTCTCTCAAACCGCACTGTCACCATCGCCCGCATCCTCAAACGCATCATCGTCCATATCACCAGTGCCGTGATCCTAAATACTGTCGACGACGTCGTGAACATTGTCACCAGCATCACAATAGTCATCGCCGTCGGCACTGTTTGCTCCCCCTCCTCGTCCTCCTCGTCCTCCTCCTCCTCCTCCCGCTCATGCTGCTCCTCCTCCGCCTCCTCCTCCTCCTCCTCCTCCCCCTCCCTCCTCCTCCTCCCACCTCCTCCTCCTCCTCCTCCTCCTCCCCCTCCTCCTCCATCCTCCCTCCTCCGTCTCTTCCTTCGCCTGAGCAGCACCCCCAGAGAGCCTCGCCATCGAGCCCGCGCGGGGGGGGGGGGGGCAATCAGACAAGGTCGAGCCATCGGAAGAACATGAGGCACAGCAGCCCGAACACGATGAGGGGCGCGACGCGGCCGAAGAGGCCCATGGTGGGCCACTCCCAGACGAGGGGGGCCAGGACGTCGCCCCACATCCTGAGAGCGAGGAGGGGTGACTGAGGAGGGGGGCGGAGGAGGCAGCAGCAGGGAGGGAGGAGGGAGGATAATGAAGCAGGAGGAGGCATGGGAACAGGGAGGAAACGGAGGAGAGCCAGAGCGAGAGAGAGAGAGAGAGCGGAAAGGGGGGAAGCGGGAGGAGGGAGGAGGGGGGAGAGGAGGGAGGCGGAGGAGGAGGAGGGGGTCCCAGAGAGAGAGAGAGAGAGAGAACACATAACAAAACAGAAACTCTGATATAAAAAAACAGGGGAGATACCCCACTTGAGCATAGCCAACAGGCCGAGAAGGAGAAGGAAAGGAGAGGAGGATGAGGAGGGGGAGGAGGAAGAGGAAGAGGAAAGCGGAGAGGAGGCGAGGCCAGAAGGAGGGAGACGGGGGGGGGGGGGGCAGAGCGCCCAGACCTCTACGCCTAAGGAACGAAATCTAGACCGCGACAGCGCCCACTGCCTCTCGACGCCGTGCATGGCGCGCTTCTCTGGGGCCCTGGGTCAGCCTCAACGGAACAACGGCGCTCAAGACCCAGACATCCGAGGACGCCTTTAATTCCACCCGCGAGCCCCAGAAGTCTCGACCCCCTCGTCGGGGGTCCCGAAACCGTGCGGTGACAAACCGTGCGGGGACCTCGAAATCCTGAGAAGACCCTGACTCATCACACGGTGTGGTCTCCGCACCGTCTGGGGGGGGGGGGGGCTGACCCTCTTTGTAAGCAACTTCTGGTCCCAGGCTCATCCGTGACTGGCCCTGGGGACCCGACATCGGTCTCCCTTGGGGCCGAAGCGAAGAGGAACCAATCGCTACGTAAAAACTTGGCGTCGCGCACGAAGGGGTAGGGGGAGGGGTGAAGGCTGATTCGGAGGAAGATGGTTCTTTGATTATTCCCCATATCCTAAGATGGGGTTCTTGTTAATACTTGGACGCCTCCTCCTCCTCCTCCTCCGCCTCCTCCTCCTCCTCCTCCTTCCTCTTCGCGTCCCCTCCTCTGCTCGTCTACTCATACGAGACTTACTCATGCCCAGACTTACTCACACACCGACTTACGCATACTGAGACCTACTCGTACTCAGACTTACTCATACCCAGACGTACACATAAACAAACTTACTCATACACTGACTTACTCATATTCAGGCGGGACTCAGGCGGGGCGCTGGTTTCAGCACCCCTCAGGGGCGCCGCCAGGGGTGTTTTCACGGGCCCGTTCGCGGCCAGTTTGTGGGGATGTATCAAGCGGTTTGCTCGTGTTCATGCCCAACACCCTTGGCGTTCAGAGCAGATTTTAATAATGTCTCAGGCGGGGCGCTGTTTTAAGCACCCCGAAGGGGAGCCGCCAGGAGTGCTTGTACGGGACCGTTCGCGACCAGTTTGTGGGGATGTCTCAAGCGGTTTGCTTGTTTCATGCCCAACATCGTTGGCTTTCAGAACAGATGTTGAGGATGTCTCAGGCGGGGCGCTGGTTTCAGCACCCCTAAGGGGAGCCGCCAAGGGTGTTTTCACGGGCCCGTTCGCGGCCAGCCTGTGGGGATGTCTCAGGCGGTTTGCTCGTTTCATGCCAACATCGTTGGCTTTCAGAACAGATTTTGAGGATGTCTCAGGCGGGGCGCTGGTTTCAGCACCCCTAAGGGGAGCAGCCAGGGGTGTTTGCACGGGCCCGTTCGCGGCCAGTTTGTGGGGATGTATCAAGCGGTCTGCTCGTGTTCATGCCCAACACCCTTGGCTTTCAGAGCAGATTTTGAGGATGTCTCAGGCGGGGCGCTGGTTTCAGCACCCCTAAAAGGAGCCGCCAGGGGTGTGCCCGTTTTTGTGGGGATGTCTCAGGCGGTTTGCTTGTCTTCATGCCCAACATCCTTGGCTTTCAGCGCAGATTTTGAGGATGTCCCAAGCGGGGCGCTGGTTTCAGCACCCCTAAGGGGAGCAGCCAGGGGTGTTTTCACGGGCCCGTTCGCGGCCAGTTTGTGGGGATGTATCAGGCGGTTGGCTTGGTTTCATGCCAAACATCCTTGGCTTTCAGAGCAGATTTTGGGGATGTCGCAGGCGGGCGCTGATTTCAGCACCCCTAAGGGGAGCCGCCAAGGGTGTTTGCACGGGCCCGTTCGCGGCCAGTTTGTGGGGATGTCTCAGGCGGTTTGCTCGTGTTCATGCCCAACATCCTTGGCTTTCAGAGCAGATTTTGAGGATGTCTCAGGCGGGGCGCTGGTTTCAGCACCCCTAAAAGGAGCCGCCATACGGGTGACCCATACTCACTCACCCGCATTAAGATTCACTCGTCTTCGTCGGCCCTGTCGCCCATGATGACGCGCTATGATACTCAAACGCTCATGAAAAGACGCTCACTATGGCATGACATAAAACATGAGATGCACATATGGGGAGCTCCACGCAGTGAGTAATCTGTTCGAAGACGCACGCTCTGGCGAGGTTTCGTGCAAGCATTGTTTCGTGGGGGGCCCGCACCACCAGCACGTTAGCACGCTTGCGTAAATGAGCACAGAAGATGTGCAAGGCCACCGCCCTGTGAGTCTGGAAACTTTGCAGTGGTTGGAGGCTGCAGGGCCACACGCACTGCAGCTGCAGGCTGGGGCGGTCAGGAAGGCCCATGCTGCTGCTGATGCTTCCTCTGCCTTCTCCGAGCCTCCTCCTCCTCCTCCTCCTCCTCCTCCTCCTCCTCCTCCTCCTCCTCCTCCTCCTCATCCTGCTCCTCCTCCTGCTTCTTGGAAGGCGCCGGCCTTACATCTACAGACGAGGCCCGCGCCTTCTCAGCAGCAGGGGTGCTTCCAAGCAGCCTCCCCCCCTCCCCCATAACCCCCCCCCCCCCCTGCGCGTGGTAGAAAAACGCCCGGGCCGGCCCTGGAGAAGGGCCCAGGTCTCCGACGTCGCTAGTGATTCACAGCGGGGACTCCCCGGAGGTCTAACCCCTTTCCTCCCAGGACCAGCTCCTCATCCCGAACTGTGCTTGGACGGTCCCGCGGCCTGACAAGGAACCCCCGAGGCCGAACGCAGTGTCAAAAACCGCCCGTCGTGACTGTTTCCTACGAGAGGAGGTCTGGGGGGTCCGGTCTTCCAGGCTTGGCCCGCCGACGTCCGTCCATCCACTGGCGCGGCGAGCTGCGGGTAGCAGTTGGGCTCTTCACGGCCGACGCCTGCCAGCTTCTGCGCGGCCTGATCGGACGAAGAGTCAGGAGGCAGGGGGGGAGGAGAGAAGACTAGGAGGGGGGACGAGGATGGGAGAAGCGAGGAGAGGATGGGAGGAGGAGGAGGAGGAGGAGGAGGAGGAGGAGGAGGAGGAGGAGGAGGAGGAGGAGGAGAAGGAGGAGGAGGAGGAGGAGGAGGAGGAGAGGAGGAGAGGAGAAGGGGAGGCGAGAAGAGAAGGGAGCAGGAGGAGGAGAAAGAGAAGGACGGACACATGCGGGATCCGTCCCCCCGCACCCGCACGCACGCGCGCTGCGCGCCCGACGGGCTGGCCTCGGCCCCCCAGACGAGGCCGCGGCCAGGGGGCGCCGCCGTGGCACGAAAGTGATCGGCCGCGGCTACAACAGCACCCACCGGCTGCTGCACTCCAAGGCGGACGCCTTCAACATCACTCTGAGGGCCACGAGGCCCGTCAGCCTTGGTGGAGACCTACCAGCAGACGTGCCGAGACCATGCACGGGCACGAGCAGACGCGGCCCAAGAAACGAGTGGGGTAATACGTCCGACGGCATCATCATCATCGCCGCGGCCGCCCTCGCGAGGGCGCCCAGGTACGGGCTGCGTCACAGGCAGCCCAAGTACGAGAACAGGCAGCCCAAGTACAAGAACGAGCTGCACAACAGGCAGCCCGAGGACGAGAAGCACAGCCAGTACGACACCAAGATCGACACCAGGCACGACACGACCGAGCAGCCCGACGGGGGTTACTAAGTACGTCGTCGCGGAGGTACCGGTGGGCAACGCCCGCGCCGCTTACGACGGGTACGACTACGACTGTCAAAACAGGCACGGCGAGGACAACTGCTGCGACGGATACGCTGCATACGGGGTCCTCACCTTGCCGCCAGAGTTACGACCGCAAGCAGAGCAATACCAGAGCAACCTGCTGCGCGACGTTGGCCATTTGCGGATCTACGACTGAGACTACGATTTCCTAATGGATGCCAACATACCATGTGAATATATTTAGCAGACATTCTGTTGATTTCGCCAGGGGGCAATGTTTGGATGCACGCCAGCGGTCGCGAGCGCCTATCGAACTACGCACGCTGTCTTTTGAACCTATCGATTTCAGAGGCGCGCGTTTCAGGATGCCCTTTTTGATTATAAATCACCTATCGTCGCGCCCATGCGCCCTTGGAATTGATCGACCCAAATCCATGCCGCATGTTGTCAACAATTCAATCCTCCTCCTCCCATTCCTCTTCCTCCTCCTCCTCCTCCTCCATGTGCCGTTGACTTCCGCCTCATAATCATTAATCCTCGCCGCCCTCGCCTTCGTCGTCCTCGAGAGGGGAAGGAGGGACAGGAGGAGGAGGAGGAAGAGGAGGGGGAGGAGAAGGAGGAGGACCTCTGGGGGCCTTAAGGGAGATGGGCGGAGAGGGCGTGAGAGGTTGGAAGAGGAGGAGGATGCGAGTAGGATAAAATCTTCTCGCTCGAGCGCCCCAGCGTTTCGCCCCCGCGGCCTGCCCCCCTCTCGAAAGTAAGCAATCCTCGGGCGGGTTCCAGTAGCAGTGCCTACGGAGAAGGAGCGCTCGCGGGGACGGAGGAAGGGGAGGAGGAAGAGGAGGAGGAGGAGGAGGAGGAGGAGGAGGAGGAGGAGGAGGAGGAGTTCGAGTAGGAGACCGCCCAACTACCATCGCCAGGGGGACGCAGTCTCCGAACATGTGGTTTACGCGCGCCATCTGTTTCCAATCCTAATTTGTCGTCGGTCGTCGTCGTCGGCGTCGGCGTCGGCGTCGGCGTCGGCTTCGTCGTCGTCGTCGTCGTCGGGGGTGGGGGTCGCGGGCAATTGAGGTAGAAGAACACCTTGTACGATACATCGGGGAACATCCAGCAGAATACTTCATCCGACAGCGAAGTCCGCGAGTCAATATTATGCAGAGGGCCTGGCAACCACCAGATACGCTCGGAAGTAACCGCTTGAAAGGGGCGTGTGAGACCGAGGTGGAGACCGAGGGGTGACACGTTCTCATTTTCGAGCCTATCTGGTGGTTGCCAGGCCCTGAGCATAATGATTAATATTAACTCGCGGACTTCGCTGTCGCATGAAATATTCTGCTGGATGTTCCCCGATGTATCGTACAAGGTGTTCTTCTACCTAAATTGCCCAGGACCCCCACCCCCGACGACGACGACGACGCCGACGCCGACGCCGATGCCGACGCCGACGCCGACGCCGACGCCGACGCCAGCGACGACGACGACGACGACGACGACGACGACGACGACCGACGACGGAGTCGGCACTCCAGACGGGCCTCCTGGAGCGGCTCGGGCGGGGGGGGGTCAGGGAGCGCCCGTCGGGAGTTTGGGCCGCCGCGGGCAGAAGTCAGAGAGCGGTCCCTCGCAGCTCGGGCTGGGCGGCACGCCGAGGTCGACACCGGCGCGGGCCTGCCGTGAGCCAGAAGTGTCTTGAGGGAAAGGGGGTCTTCCAGGTCTGCCGCCACTTCTCGGCCAGTGGGCCACAAAGCGAGATGCCGCGGCATCTCGCTTCAACGTAGTTTTTGGTTCCCCTTGGGCCCCTCTTGGAGCCGTATTGGGCCTTAGGGGGACTCTCTCGGGGCCACTCTTGGGCAATCCCCCTCAAAAGTCGCCTTGTGCCAATTAGAGCCCCATAGGGTCCAAGAGGGCCCGCAATTGGGACCCCAAGAGCCCTTCCGAGCTCCTCCGAACTCCGAGCTCCTCGGAGCGTCCCAAGACAGGCCCTCAGAGGGCCCCCGCTTCAAGAGGGGGTCGCCTCGCTCGGACGTCTGTTCGGGGTTTTCTGCGGTGTCATTGTTACCAGACCCCGAAAAGCCATGGCCAAAACACAACCTGAAATTGTAGGTCGCAATGTCACGCGTGACATGCAACTGCAACTTAAGTTAAACCATGTGTCCTCTTCCCCCGGGCCCCCTCCACCACCGGGCCTCCCCCTCCCCATCCTCCTCCTCCTGCTCCTCCTCCTCCGGTCCTACTCAGATCGGGCCGGGGCCCAGCCGCTTGCGACTCCCTTCGGCTCCTTGCCGAGCCCTTTGGTTCCTTGTTTTTCTCATCTCGAAACGCTAGGTCTTCAATAATAATTTAAGTTAAGACACGCGCACAGCAGGACGCGCCACCGCAGCTCCCTGAGACCATCGCCCCGGAAGCCCACGACGGCGGGGAAGAAAAGTAAACGGTGGCATGTACCTCCACCTTGGCACGAAAGGCCCCGTGCACAGGAATTGCCGCTGCACTTACTGTATCTCTCTCTCTCTCTCTCTCTCGCTCTCTCTCTCTCTCTAGACTCTATCCCTCTCGCTCTCACTCTAGACTCTAGACTCGACTCTAGACTCTAGACTCTAACTCTAGGACTCTAGGACTCTAGGACTCTATCTATCCAATTCTATCCATATATTTATCCCTCTCGCTCTCGATTTCCGGAACTTGTGCTTCTCTCTGTCGCCTCTATATCGTTTTCTCTGTGTGTGTGTCTCTCTCTCTCTCTCTCTTGGAGTCTGTAAGGTCCCAATCGTCGTCGTCATCGTCGTCGTCGTGGCCCCCCTCAGTCTCTCTCTCTCTCTCTCTCTTTCTTTCTTTTTTGTTTGTCTCTCTCTCTCTCTCTCTACTCTCTACTCTGGCACGTGCGGCTGCACTGCGAAGCTCAGGCCAAAAAGGAATGGAAGGATATCGGATATCGAAACGCGCTGGAGGGGGGTGCAGGGGCGAGGAATCACATGTCAAGCCGGAGAAAAATATGGCGTCATCAGCACCTGGTCGGCCCGCGAGAGGAGGGAGGAGAGGGTCGGAGGGAGCATGCGGAGGGGATGGCGGGAGGAGGGAGAAATGCGGATGGGGGGAGGAGGAGAGGGCGGGGGAGACTGGATGGAGGAGAGATGAGGGAGGATGGAGGGCTGCCGACGGAATGGCGCGAAAAGACTTCGTCGTGATACACGCAAGTGAGCTGCGTGTGGGGCGTCTGAGTGTGCTCCAGCGGCTCCGCGGCCGCTGTCAGCCGCACGCGCCAAGCTGGATAGGACCAGCCTGTGGTTCATGGCAGACTCCAGAGTCTCAAGATTTCTGATCCTCGATAAGCTTGAAGCCTAGGACCTAGGACTAGGAGACTAGGACCTAGCCTCGAGTCTAGAGTCTAGAGTCTAGAGTCTGGAGTAGCCTAGTCGCTCTACTCTCTAGTGTCTAGTCACTAGTCTGAGTCTAGTGTCTAGAGTCTAGAGTCTAGAGTCTAGAGTCTAGTCTAGCTTCTAGTCTGAGCAGTTGTGCCGCGTGAGGGCCACAGGGGGCCAAGCAAAGTCTAGGACCTAGGACCTTAGGACTTGAGCTCCAGGGCCCCCTGAGCTAGCAACGGCCGCTAGGGCCTAGGGCCGCTAGGGCCGCTAGGGCCGCTAGGGCCGGGCAGGCGGGGCGACCCAAGGACGATGTAAGTTCAAATAGCAGGGCAGGTGGAGTAGGCCTGGGGCCCAGGCCCCAAGTCGTGGGCCCAGGAGCCCGCCAAGGCTTCGACTCGCTTGGAAAAACAAGATAAAGGGACCGAAGGACCGAGCTACAACTCGAACGAACTCAGTGCACCGGGCAAGCATAATGACTGCAGCCCGCGCATCTCCAATCAAGGTCACCAGAGGCTGACAGCCTGCTGCAAAGATAAAAATAAAACAGATCCCACGTGGAGTGGGTTGGCTGACCAGCCAGCTGCACCGAGCCCCCGCTACAAGGCACATTATTTCTGATCGGCCAAAATCTGCTGCGCGCGCGCGTGAAGCGCAGGATGCAATTTGCTCGGGGAAGCCCCGCAGGATTTCAAGAGCTTCAACTCCTTCGAGACCTTCTCGCGGGTGACTGCGGGATCAAGGAACGTGAACTCTGCGATCGTGATCCTGCCTGCACGGACCACTTCCACGACCTGCTCTAACCAGGCCAGCTCTGGCGACAAATCAAAGCCATTGAACGGCATATCCTTGTACTTATGGATGAAGGCGGACGTCTTGGAGACC